TCTTGGGCGAGACATTACCCGCGGCGTGGGCCCAATGGCCGCTGACGCTCGGTGGCCTCGGCCTCCACAACCCGTTCCTCGTCGTCTGGTCGTTGCGCCGCGCGCTGCTCGACCACCTCGAGTCGTACCACACACGCGTGCACGAGCCGTGGCCCAAGGAGCGCAGTCACTGGCAATGGCGCGCTGCCTTCTCCACCGAAGCCATGCGTCTCCGTGAACGCTACAACGTCTTTGAAGAAACGATCGAGCGCGACGGGCTCGAAGCTGCATTCGAGACGGTGGAATTGGCGGACCTGCGGCAGTTTACGACGCTGCCAGGTCACGAGACCACGTTCGACACCAAGTACCGCGTTCGATCGCTGTCAGAGGTGCTGAAACGGGCCGGGGCAAAGGAGACGCCGCTCCTCCAGAACGAGTACGCGGCGTGCCTCTCCCAGGTGACCGAGACGTCGCCGAATAACGCCGCGTGGTGGTTGACGTCGACAGGAAGCGCTGTCAGCGGTCAGCTGTTGACGGCAAACAAATTGCAGCCGTACTGGTACTGGCTCGCACAGCTCTACAGCGATCAGTTTAGCGCCGAGTTTGGCACGGTCGCGTTCTTTAGCCGCGAGCTGCTGCCATCCCAGCTCATCGAGACCATCGAGAAGACGGCCGTCTCGTGGTAATCTGAGACTCCCAAGCGGCATACAAACATTAGTGTAGACGGCTTTACCGTGTAAATTTTTAAGCATAGAGAAGTATAGAGCCCGAGTCTACTCGTCAGTACTATGGCTACTGCACGTATTACATGTTAACTTTTTCAGCAATTCCTCTCACTTTTAACGTTGCAAGGTATCGGATAGCATAAAAGATAGAGACGGCAGAGTTGAAGGGTCGAGTTGCTTCAGAATATGGGCTAGAGGTGGCCAAGCACAGGCAAGAGCTTGAATCTAGGCAGGCGTTGGCTCGACATAGAGTGTACTGTGCGCTTGCGCTCGCTTCTTTCGCTTCCGAAGCACGAGTACGAGAAGGACCACGAGAAGACCCGCCACGAGCACATAGCCGATGATCGCTGCCGTCTTGTAGCCCGAGGCAACCGTGTCGCTGGTCGTCACCGCGCCGTCTACCGCAGACGTCCCCGGCGCCAAAGTTGACGCCGCCGTAAACTTTTCGGTGGGCACCCCGTCGTAGATATCGTCTGTCGCCAAATAAGACTTGGCCAATGACGGCTTGATCGCAAAGCTCATGGGGGCAACCGTCGCAAGACAGCTCGTATCCAGCGCCGTCACATCGCCATCGACTGTCACAAACGAGGCGACAAGCTGGGCTGCACATGGAGCGCCGCCCTAAAGTGCATCGTGTTTTTGTTCATGCGTCCTTTCGTGATACAAATTACAGTAAAATCGACATACCTTTGTTGTTACGGGCGTGTTGACGATCGTGCCGTGGGCTGCGTAATTGAACTCGACGAGGCGCTTGGCCGTCCCGATGAAGCTGTCGTACTGGTTGCGAGCGCCTCTCGCAGCGGTCTGCGGATCCAAGAGACCGCTCAACAGCAGAACGCTAGTGCCTTTAGGAATCGTGATCGGCACGTCGTAGTAGATATCGCGCGGATACTGCCACTTGTAGTCGTTGCTCGGCGCGCGCTCTTGAGCGCAGTTGGGGTCCTTGCCGCCGCTGGCAATGCAGTAAGTCGTCACCATGCCCGCCACGTTGCTGCCGATGAGTGTGTTCATAAACGTCTTCTTGAGCGTATCGTAGGATTCCGTGGGCGTCCGCCAGAGTTCAGACGTCACAATCAGCTTGTACAGCATGGTGGACCGGTAACTGTCGGAGGGACGCGGCGTGCTGTCACTATGACAGATCATAGTGTGACGTTTCATGGTGACGTCATCACGCCGTACTCGATATCGATTTGAATCGCAAAGTTGGTGATCGCCGTGACATCGTCTGAGCTGCAGCGCGTAAAGCGGTACACCAGCGCCTACAATCCCGTCAGCCAACACATGTAGAAAGAACGCTACCGGAATCATGGATCGAAGGGTCTGATCTTGAAGCAGATCGGAAAAGAGCGCACGCAGCGTGGCCGAAGGTGGCGACGACGACGACGACTCGAGCAGCTTGGCACACGCCGAGCCCTTGGGATTGTTGTCGAGCGCTGCGTACAGCTTGGTCAAGGCCGTCCGGAGGTCTAGATCTCCAAGATCACACACGACACTTTGCATACTGGAACATACCAGAGCCCGGGAACTTGCTGCTGCAATACGTGTCGGTCTTGCACAGATCAATAAACGTTTGCGCTACATACAAAGAGTCCATCACCCATTTTCATGTCAGTCGATACAAAATACCAGCTTCGTCGACTTCCTTGTCCCAGTCGTTAAAGACCGTGAGCTTGTTGTCCTTGCTGCCCGAGTTGGCCACGATCCCGTCGAGGATGTAGCCCTTGATACTCGGGTTCTCGAGTTGCATCAAGCGCTCGACAAGGTACGTGCCGTAGCTCACGCCATACACAAACGTGTTGGCGTTCTCGGTTGCT